CCCCAAAACCCCAAAACCCCAAAACCCCAAAACCCCAAAACCCCATCAAAAAGTAGTTAAATTGAAATTATCGGGAAATTTATACTTCTGTTTTGACATCAGCAAATTTCAAAAAGACGATGTCGTTATTAAGATCAACCATTCAAGCTTGTCTTGAGTTATTGTCGTAAAAGGAGTAAGTAAAGGTCCTACTACTCTTGTTCTCCCAAAGGACATTACAGACCAATTTTTTATTGCTACCAATTTGCCATTCATACAGAGCGCCTCTGCCTTTATGAAAAAGCTCTAAGGCTCCATAAATCTGTTCCATTTGAGTGAGAGCTTCTCGGTCTCAAGGACAATCTATTGGTAAAGAGGTACCTCAATAGACTTCGTCATAATAGTGTTCGCTGGTTTTCGTTTTTTCAACATAAATTCTTCTAAATTCTAGTCTGTCATTACTAATAAACAGTAACAGGTCATGATCAAAAACAAGCATTCGGTGGAAGTATTCAATGGTTTTTGGTGGAAGCAAGATGCCATATGTACCTGTAACCTGCTTGATAGATTTGAAATCAATATCTCCAAATTGGTCAACACCAATCTTGTAAATTTCATAATCTTTACCAGTGAGAATGGAGAGATGGAATCGGAGATCTCCATTTGGAATTTCTAACAAATCTTGGATGTTATCACTAAACTCTATTTGGAACACTATTTCGCAGGTAATTTGGATTGGGACATTGCTATCCTCCTTGATCTTCTCTTCTATTTGAAGGATCCTAAGATAATGCATATCGTTGTGCTCACTAAACAAATAGAACGTTTCTGAACTAAAAAAATGAGTCCTTAAGAATGGTGACTCTGCCCTCTCATTGGAAACTGCCAAGGTTATCGAATAACTGATACTCAACAAATTCAACCCCGAGAGTTTCTAAATCTTCTAAGGTAGGGATTTTATAGAATAGTATTGAGGTCTCTTTCTTGTTATGACAGCAAAGAACTAGGATATCTGTTGAGATTATAGTACATTTGTCTACAAAGTAAACCTGGCTATCCCTCTCTGTAATCTTACATATCTCAATTTTAAACATTATCTTCTGGGTCTTCATGTGCCAAACCAGGATCGAACTGCTGTTTCTCTGAATAATCAAGGTATCTCTGGACTTTTCCTCTCAGTAGGGATCATCTTTGGGTAAATAAGGGATAATTTCTCGGATCTGGTCTTCTCGATACTCCACGGCATGCTCATAAATACCCTGACCTTCATCAACTTTCTCTTCATCACTACCTTCAGCGAGTTGGTCATATTTTTCGGTGATGGGCTCTATCAGCATGAGAAGCTCCTTGCGGTCAAATTTCATGAGGAATTCTTCCTTAGTGTCTTCCAATTTTGTGTCAGCCAAGTTGGTCATGCCGTTAAGATGGTCAAGAGCTTGCCTGAGTTCTTCGTAAGTTGTCTGCAATTCAATTTTTGCATCACGAATGTTTTCAAGTTTTAACTGAGCGCTTTGGTTGTCAAACTCCTTTCTACGGCAGTAATGGGACTGCATATTTTGACCACGCTTCATTAAGAATTCACAGTCAGGACATTCCTCGTAGGATTCTAGGCAGGTCTTTAAGTGCTCATTCATTCCTGCACGAGGATAGTATCCTAGGCAATAATAGCACTTCTCCCTGAGCTGAATGCAATTTAAAGCTATGTGCTTCTCTTGTTCAGGTCGAGGAATCTTATCACCACACCATTTGCACAGGTTAGTAGTACTGAAGTAAGGATTTTGAGGACCTCTCTTCCCTCCTGCTCTAGTTCTTTTCTTGCCACTAGTATTCTTGGTTTTCTTAGATTTATGGCTAGTATCATTTGTTGCTTCAGAATCAGAGTTTCCTTCTTCTTTTATTGAAACTAAAGCAAGTGGATCTACTAGAGCTAAACTATCTACTCCATCTAAGACGAAGCTAACTGATGTTTGGCCGTTTCGAGAGGGTAACTTCTCTAACCTCTTCTTGATCTGAGAAGAATGTCCAAGTAAATGCTTTATATACAACTTATAAGGATATCATTTTGATTGGACTTTTGGATTAATAGTTGGTCAAATTCCTCACATAAACTTCAACGAATTAAGTTCCTTTAGAAATTCCTTGGTTGCATATACAAACTCAGTGGACCTGCATTTGACCTTCTTTGATTTCACTGACTCATCAACATCGATTCATTCAACGATTTTGTTCCAGATTCATCCTTTGGTAGGGTCACTCTTGTTAGTATTTTTCAGGACAAGGTCCATTCATTTTTTGCAATAGAACCTATCACATTTCTTGCATTTGAAAGGCTCGATAAGCACCCCTTTTCAGTATAGGCAAATAAGTGCTCTTCTGAGTGCACCTCCGCTGATGCAATCTCTCACATTAAGTTTTATATCTTTAATCCCCATATTTTTTCAAATATGTCAGCCGGTTGTGAACAAAAAAGAGCAATGTTGGTGTAATCGGAATGTGTAAATTTGAGCAAAACCAGCAATTTTATAAATAATTAACTAGATTTTTCAATGTTTTCCTTATCAACCTCAGTGATATCTCTGAGTGGTTTAGAGCTTTTGGCTTTCTCCAGTTCCTTCTGTTGCATATATTTCTCTTTCTCTTTTGTCACCTGGATGAAGGTAAGAAGAGAGCTTTGGGTGTTGTCGAACAATATTTTACTTCCCTTCTTAGATGTCTTGGTGCGGTCAACATTACTACCTTTGGTCTCCTTTGTGTACCTTAATCATGGAATTGGTTTTGGATAATCCTTTCCTAGTACACAAGATGATTCTTTTTGGAGATAAATGGGCATTCTCCAAGGATCATGCACATATTCCTCGGGGACATACCTAAGTTCCTCCACAAATGCCTTGATATACTCACCTTTGGGGTCATGATCTTGTGATTGTGTGAGGCAGTTATACTTAACGATCCTGCCTGGACCAATACCTGCACCTTGATGTCACTTTCCAATAATCTCACATGGTTCATAGTCAATCATCCTCGCCTCAAAAAATTCGGCTCCCTTCCTCCAATCTTGTCTGAGGTCACCTGAAAAGTAATTGCAAAAATCATTTTGGCTTTATAAGACATATTGCCTGATTCATTAAAGTCCCGAACAAGGGCATCTATGATGGGCATTCCGGTTTTGCCCTCCTTGACACGTTTGATGATCTCGGGATCTGTCTGCCATTCATAATGTGAGCGGTTGTAGATACCATACTCTGCATCGAAATATACTTTGTGATGCTTTAGCGCCCAAAAAACAAAATAGTCCTTCCATAACATTTCTCGTTTAACTCACTCAGTTTGCTCTGAACTTCCATTTTTATTCTCATATTTGAGGATCTCTAGGAAAACCCTTCTAGGAGAAATGGCTCCAATAGCAGTCCATGCTGTGAGCTTTGGTGAGCAATCACCGTTCATGAAGAAGGAGGTCTTGGAGTAATGGTGCCTAGAGATTATATCCTTATCCCAAAGGTACTCCATCAGCCTTGATAATGCAAATTTCTCACCTCCTTTGAGATTGAACTTGCTTTTCCCCTCCCTGCTATCGAAGCATTCTAGTGACTCAAACTCTTTGTCTGAGAACTGGAAGTCTTTCAGGTCAGGAATATAGTCGATGTCATTGTTCGATTTTACAAAATCTATCATCCCTGATCAAAAACAATATCTTTAGATGGAAACGGCATCTCATCCTTCTGAGGAGGGTCCAGTAACTCTCTTATGCTAATATTTGCAATATCTTTTTTGAATTTGCCGAATAAGTGTGGAAACTTGTCCAAGGAATATGGGAGATCCTCAATATGTACAGAGGTACATCCCCATACTCTGCATACTTTCGTTTTGTTGTGAAGAGCCATTTTGCAAATTAACTCTTCTGCTTTTTTCTCAAGTGGAGCTATTTCGTTCTCAAATACAATGAAATTCTCTCTGTCATTTCTGAGAAGCTTCTTGCATGCTAAGTGTGGCTCTTCTAAGAAAATAAGTAAGTCAGAATTCACTTTTTTGAGCTCTGTTTTAAGCTCGATTACACTTTCTAGGATTAATCTAGTTCTGAGGATGCTTCTATATCGATCTTCATCAGACTCAAGGGATTTCTCAGACTCTGGTCTTAACATAAACAGTTTAGGATTGAATCAATATATAGGAATAACCTCGAAGTTGTTTTTACCGAACTTTTCTCCTAGCTGAATTGCCTTTCAGAGCAAATAGTTGTCATCCATCCTGATATTGTTATTTATATATACAATTATCCGCTTCTTTTGCTTAGCCAGGTACTCGATTTCTTTGTCAGATAGTTTGGACTCAAGTTCCCATTCCATTTGCTCTATTGTGGTATCACCATTTTGGAGTGACTCTGTGCCTAGTAAGGTCTGCTTCAAACTCTGGTTCATCCCATCTTCTTCCTGTGAATCCTTTTGCTTGGCTAGAGCTTCTTCTTCAGTCAAGATAGTCTTCTTCATAGAGTTTTTACTTTGCTGGGGAGGCTCGTAATCTGGTAAGTAGCCTATCCTCTGTGCATATTTTTCCTTTTGCTTATTTATGAACTCTTTCTGAGCCATCTTCTTAGAATTGGTTCTCTTCGCATCAGAAGACTTGACCAGAGGCTCTTGATCAATAGACAGCTCGATGTTTTCCTTGCTCTGTTTGAATGATAAAGGTTCAAGAGGTCTTCTCTTGACAATCTTGTTGCGCTTACTCAATTCTACATTGATATTAGTGATGGGAACTCCATCTTCATCCCTCTCCTTCTCAGCTTCAAGTTTGGTCTTGATCTTCTCAATAAACTTGATTCGTTTTCTATCTTGAGGGTAGATTTTTTGATCCCTCTGCATATACTTATTCTTTTCGTAATCATAAGCATATCTCTTAAAAATGGGATCAATTTCGAAATCAGAGTCGAGGTCAATAGAGAGATCTTTCAGTTTCTCTTCAATGTTCTCATGCTTATCTTGATCATCATCCTTAGAGTTTTCTTCAAGTGCAGACTTCTGTGCCTCGATGGCTACATTTTTGCTATCTTTCCTCTTTTTGACCTTAACTCTGATAGACCCACTAGATTCCTTCGCGAGTGGAGTTATTTTAGATTTCTGTTTGCCACCAGCCTTTTTAGTCACCAAGCAAATTCGTTTCTTTGGTGTGTCTTTAGGCGTTGAAATCTGGTCGCTCTCATCACAACTAATATCTTCCTCTTCAGTTTCTTCATGAATGCTTTCAACTGTGAATTCTTCTTCACTGTCCTTACTGATTTGTTTCTTCTGTCGCTTATTGACCTTCTTTCTTCGAGGCTGGAGGCTCTCTGAACTCATTTTTTCAGGATCGTGGTCTTCACTGTAGCTTATAATCTTTCGCTGTCTTAGTGATCGTCTTTTTCCTTTTGCTGGCATCTTTTTGTCGGTAAAATTTATGTAAATAGGAATATTGAGAACATCTCTATTATAGTCTTACCTTTAAGAGAAACTCTCCATACTAGATTTTTAGAAATATTGGAATGTCAATTGTATAAATATTTTAAGGGGTTTTGGGGTTTTGGGGTTTTGGGG